CATTTCGAATTGAATGAACTTTATTACGGTCATTGATTTATTAAAATACTTAAAATAATTAGAACGCATATTTAAGTATCTATACAATAGATTGAGATAATCGCTAGCTTTTACAAATCGTTTTAATAAAAGTTTGTTATAGCGGCAGCACTCACAGCCTTAAGACTACCCCAGCGGGTTTTGGGCAATTAGAAGCTTCCACTAATCGGGCCCATCTCGGAAATTGTTTTAAATGTACGCCCTCGCCGCTCACCACACTGCATAGAACAGAGTTCCTGCTTTAATGAAAAGAGTTCTTGCCTCTCTTATTAATATAATGATAATTTGAACTCGCCACTTGCGTAAGCACCTTAATTAAGGCTGTTCTACTTACTTATGGTATATATTATCTTGTCGAAAATATTTTAATTAAAAAAAAACTTTTAAGACACTCGTGAAAATTGAATACTTGGAACTTTCATTAGGGTTAAATTTAAAGCGAGTTGAAAAATTAAGTTAATTAGGTTAGAAGGGTTTGGCAAAAGCTGTACGACATTCAGGTTTCCTGTCGATTTTTTCTTTTGTAAACAGTTTTCAATTTATTTCTTATGCTCTTCTTATTAATAATTCTAAGCGACATACATTCACAGGCAATAAATTAGGGTTAAAGTCGAGTCTAAAGGTGATTTCATAACGCAAAAAATGAGTTGACCAATCAGGAGCTGTCGTCGCAGCTCCTGATTGGTCATATCAAGGTCGCGACATGACCTTAACAACACGATAAATTGCGGCAATATATTGCCAGAATTTTCGCATTGACGGCCTCCGTGGCCGAGTGGCTTTCACACCGGTGTCGCCATCTCAGAAGTCCCGGGTTCGATCCCCGGTCGGGTCAGTGTAGAAAACTAACTTTTTTATATTGTTTCGGGTCTGGGTGTTGTACCATCGTTGTTTCCGATTTCCATAACACAAGTGCTTTAGCTACTTACTTTGGGATCACAGCAACGTATGTGATGTTATCTAATAGTTATAATAGTTATTTATTGTGAATCCACTTTAACGCCGTCTCTAAGCCACGACTATCGCCAGTTAAGCTGTATATTCCACGAAGGAGTTGCATGACACCGTTTAATTTATAGCTGTGATCTCACTCGAGACGTACAATATCTAATAACACAAATACACTTACCTCTAGTTCACTGTACTGATAGTAGCCTGCGATCGCGGTCTGTGGTATATTGTACTTATACGTACATTGCGTCTCTATGGTCATTAGAAGTAACACCTTTATACAAAAGTAGAGGTACAGAAGAAATACTTCCGAAGACCTACCAGTCACCTCGCACCAGTTCGCATCCGCGCACTGTAGGAGGAGGTTCGTTCGTGGTAGTGCAGACGCGTCCTTAGCGGTACATGGATCAATGAATAGCGTAAAATGGGTGGGGTCTGTACGCTGCAATGAGTGTTCATTCTGTAATTGGTTAATTAAAACGAAAAGGCGTTTTGCTTCCAAATATTATAGTGAACGGCTATGGAATGGAATTCTTTGCCTGCAGATTTGTCTCCTGAACTGTATAATTTGGGCCTTTTCAAGGGAAGAATGAATAGGCATTATTTAGGTGCGTCTGCTCCATCATCGACCTCATTTTCATTTTCCATCAGGTAACGCACTTATTTATTAATTAAAAACAAGGAAAAAACGGTAGAACTGGTATGTGGCTGTTCATGGTCGTCGTCTGTACGAGGATTTAAAAGCACAGACTGCAGATTTACACTCACGAAAAACTCATAATAATATATGTCTAAATACTGGATGCCGTTTACGAAGTAGGTCATGGCCATTACCACTTGTCAAATGCCAAAATTAAATTATAAGAAGTGACAGGCTACACACACATACTTATACATTCGTATCCCGATCCAATAGATTCTTGTGAGTGAAGGATTTCATAATGGCCATGTCATTATCTAGTATCGGTGCCGCTCCGCAGTCTGTTGGGCAGTGAGGCTGTTTTTAAACCCGCGTTTCTGCAAACATAGTAGACGCAAAAGCGAGGTAGCCGTATCAACATTCTTAACCAATTATTATATTGGACCCGTAGAACACTAAGTGATTTTTTAATAAGTTAATGGTGTACCATTATCACAGAATAATGAAAAAGTACTATTGTGTAATTGGCAATGATTTACATTGCGATCTAAGTATAAGCTGTTATAATCAGAGACGGTCAAGCGCCCGGGTTTTATTCGGGTTTAAATCGGGTTAAAACCATTAACGCCCAAAATCGAGAACAAAAACTATTAATAACTAAATATGTGTTGTAAGTCGAGTTTTGTTCAAATTTTATGATATTATTACAAAAGTTTATTGCTTTTTTTATCTAGTACGATTTGAGTTCTCGATTGAAAATCGCATTGAAATAAATCGACACCAAAAATCGTTACATTGTACATACGAACTTGAATCGATTTTCATAAATAGTGCATCCTTAATTATAAGAATTCACAGGATTGCAAGGTCGTTTTTGTTTGGAGTTACCTCTTTTTCGTCTAAAAAAGATTCTTTACCATATTCCGTATTCGCCGTTTCTGGCCACGATTTTGGTCGGCAATGGGTTAAAAGCCGATGTTTTGGGTAAAAAACCCGGTTAAGACTCGGGTGGATTGATTGGGTTTTAACCCACTGCTCATCGTCTGGTTACAATACGTGTAACGTGGCTACTATGTTTCTCACGGCCTTCAGTAATTTTAAAAGGTTAATAATTTTTCATTTATTCTTCCATATCGTGCTTTGCCTACCCGTATCATGTATGTATGTAGTCTGACCAGTAATCGAATCTCTCACGTAGTACCCAAGAGAGTCATTGCTGATCAAGAGGTCACGACTTTTTCTATATATAGACACTATTACGCTCCAATATTGGATAAAAATTTCCCCTGATATTTGAAATGTCTTTAGTGATTTACCGAATTTATTATTTTATTAGATTGCTGTGAAGGAGGTGCTTTCTATCATTGCTAAGTGATGTGCAAATGTTATACTCGGTAATGTAAAATTGCTTACAAAACGGAATTGAAAACTTTATAAAAAGTATTTAAAATTAACCATAATGTACATATACATTTCTTTTTATTGAGGACAACTAACAAGTCATATACTTAATACATACAATTATGATTATATAATTTAAATGGAATGAATACAAAATATTATATTATTTAGATAAAATCTTAAATATACCTGGCTGAGTGAAGAAAAACTGTCATAGATGTCTCACAGATGGCGTTACGGCAAAAAAGTAGCTAAAAACCTAAAACAAAGATCTGCAACAAGTACATAGAAAATTTCGTAAGGTCTGCTGGTTCGTTCCGTAGCTCAGTTGGAGAGCGTAAGCACGGTATGTTGAAGGCGCTAGCTCAAATTCAGCTGGATCGAAGGATATTTTCTTAGTGTTGGATCTTTGTATTAATAATTATAACAATTATAACAAACTAGTGAAATAATTTCTCAAAAGAAAATAATAATTGAATATAGAGCTCCCAGTGAAAAAGTTCATCCAGGTATGCACCTTAGGTACTTATTACTGCCGCCAACAGTAACGTGAACAATACGCAAGTTAGCACCGCCGAGCTAACGTACGGCAAAGGACTACGCCTACTTAGCGATTTTTTCACAGAAATAAGCACTACCTCAAATATGGACCAAGACTACATATCAAGCCTTCGCCGTACAATCAGCAACCTAACGCCCGCACAGCACCACAGTAACAAAAAAGTCACTTTCGTACACCCTGCTGTACAACAATGCGACAGGGTATTTGTACGCGCCGATGCTATAAGGAAGCCGCTACAACCACCTTACGACGGGCCGTACCTGGTACTAAAAAGACAACACATAGACAACCGCAAATTACACCCAAACTCACGAAAGAAATAAATGTAGGCAATACAAATATTTCTACCGGCCCGGGAATCGAACCCGGGACCTCTGCGTGTCAGACAAGCGTGGTAGCCGTTCGGCCACGGAAGCAGT